AAAAAAAAACTCACAAACGTTTTCTATCAAATCAGAAAAGATAAAACAAATAAAATAAATATAGTAAAGCAAAAGAAAGAAAAAGCAAATAATTCAACTTGTCTCTTACTTTCATTTTGATGGGTTTTGAGAAAAAAAAAAAGAAAAAAAAAGCTATGGAATAAAGATGGTTATTTTCCTTTGAAGTTTCTCCAACTTCAACTTGAACCATTGATCAGTTCCCTAAAAGATTAAAGATCTATTTTTATTTTATAGCTTTCTCAATTTTAGGCTTGAGAGGAATCAAGTTTTCTCATCTCAAGTTCTCAACACGTTTTTTATATATTTGAGGTTTTAGAAGCTAAAGACCTATCTTGGACAAAATCATATTTGGTATTTTAGTGATATGTCTATTTTGGGAGTTCAAGCCATATAATTATACATAGTGATTTTATAATATGAAATATATGTATCCAAAAAATACTATATAGTTTGATAGAGGATTGTAAAATATTTACTATTAAATGGAATAGACTCTATAATATTAGGAGCTATTTTTGTATTTAATAACACTTATCTAGAACCAACAAAAGTTTGTTTAATATTAATGAGGTAACTTAATGGTTAATAACATAAAATTTTAAATTGAAAATCTTGAGTTTAAGTCTTGAGTTGAGTGGGAAGAGATTTGAAAATAAAGGAGGGTCATTCCCTCTTGTATAACTTATAATTGAATATATATATATATAAAAAAAAAAGTTTGTTTAAGTTTACACTCACTAAGTAAAAAAGCATTGATTTGGAGTCAAAACCAATGATTCAAATCTTTACTATACTATATGGTTAACCATTCGATATATAAAAAAAAATGATACCTATCTAGACTACAAAATAAGAAATTTTGTAAGTATTTGTATAAAGATGAGCTGAGACACAGCGGAATTCATAAAGGAGGAAAAAAAAAACTAATAATTAGTTGGTTTTAGTTAAAATACTTCAATTCCTTTTAAATAATATGTTGAGTTTTAATTTTATAAATAAAAAATAAATGCTGAGAAATTTTTTTTTACTTATGAGATCTAATATATCTCAATTTTAGGTTGATTAAAACTAATATAGTTTTAGATACCGAGGATTAATAAAAAATAAAATAAAGGACTAAAAAAAATTGAAATCGGTGAGTTTCGATTTCCCATGGAACCTAATGGTAAACATGGCCCATGACCATGAGTCCATTACTTAATTTCTTGGGTTTTAGTCCATTTCGGCTGAACCCAATTTTCAGTTGTTCACCTTAACTCTTGATGTCCTGGACACGTGTCCTGAAAGTGTCGCCAGATAAGATATGCTGTAGTAACTGTTAAGTTATTATTAGTATATCCAAATCTTCTCGTCTATCCCCACCCAACTCCCTAAACAAATTTAACAGTTTCTGTTTTTCTAAACGAGATCTCGGCATGCTTTCGTTGACCTACCGCCACAGATTTTCGCCGTCCATTCGCCGCCTCTCAGCGATCGACCGACAATTCTCGCAAACGTCGTCGTCGTCCTCCTCCTCCTCGCTGCAGCTGATTACTGCATCGAATATCGACGCAGGTCGCCGGAAGGACTCCGTCTTTGGCTCCTACACGAGATGGATTTCGGTGATCGCAGCTGGTTCGAGTTTGGGCTTGTTATATTGGTTTTCGATTTCTGAATCTGATTCTGCTACAGGTTTTTTCAAGAAGCGGCTTCTGTCTTTCTGTGACAGCCCTTCGGCAGTCGCTGAGTCAACCGGTGATGATGACTCCCGTTCAAAGACCGGATTTCAGAAGCTCTCTTTGCCTGATTACAACTCAAAGTTCATCTTTGGAGGTTCCTGTTCTTATCCTTATATATACACACACACACATTCTAGTGATTAAGATATTAAATCACATCTTGCATGTATATGATATGTGTAATTGCAGATGCATTTAGGAGAAAAGTTTTCTTTAAATACGAGAAGCGGATAAGACTGCGGAGTCCTCCAGAAAAGGTATTTGTTTCTTAGTTGTTGTTATTATATGTGAACTAATAATTGCCTCTAATATGCCTAATCGTCGGAATTGGTTTTTTGTTTTGTTGATTCAAATGAAATCAACTGTGAGTTTATAAGATGTTATTGGTAAAATAATTGCCTTCTCTAGGTGTCCTAATGGATTTTGAAGGGTATGATGAGCTCCTATTTTCATTAGGATTGCAATTATGCTCAGACCTTGTCAGAAAATTGGCCCTCAAGAATTTGAATTGGAAAGAAGCTCAAAGTTTATGAAGTTTTTAGGATTTGTTTATGACTTATGATGTCTTTTTATTTCAACCGAGGTTTATTCCTCTTAAGCTCCTAGCCTATGTAGTAGCATGCTGAATTCACTTGTTAGTTGTTATCAAGTTGCCTTTGGATCAGAGGGAGGATAAGACATTGGTAAAGTGAAGACATTGGTAAAGTGTTTACATTTTCTGTTCTTCTCACTGCGTTCATTTATCCTCTCCTGTAATCAGTCTAAGTTCACGCAATTTCTTCGGTGGACACTGGCTGGTAGGTTGCGGTTGAAAAGGATCTAAGTTGTTAGGATGCATATTGTTATTCATGGTCGTTGAAAAGATAACTTGTTCACCTTTATCTGAGATGCTGGGTTTGATTCATATTCATTGTTAGTTTTCTGCCTTTTAAGTGTTATGAAACAATCTTCTTTAACCCCTTTCTTTTGAGTTTCATAATTAGTTAAAATAGATTGGTACAAGCTCAGTTTCTTTTTTACATCTACTTTAGTTAATGGCCTTGATTTACTCACAGCAGTTATCTTATGAGCAGTCATTTCTTTCAGTCTCTCATGAGATCTCTTATTGCAGGTATTTGAGTATTTTGCATCTTCTTGGACAGCAGAAGGAGAATTACTCATGCAACCTGCAGATTTAATGCGAGCAGTCATTCCTGTCTTCCCCCCATCTGAATCCAATGCGGTTAGAGAGGGATATTTGATTGGGGAAAGGAGGCCTGGCCAGTTACAGTGTCCTCCTTCAAAATTTTTTATGCTCTTTGATGTGAACAATGATGGACGTATATCTTTCAAAGAGTGAGTTGCCAAGAGTAGTTTACATGCACATTTACTCATAAATACAACCACACATTTCTCACCTCCTTGGGGTAAATTTCTGAATTTTTTTCTTTGGAACAGGTATATTTTCTTCGTTACTCTGCTCAGCATTCCAGAATCAAGCTTTTCAGTAGCATTCAAAATGTTTGATACTGACAACAGTGGGTTTGTATCTAAATGAAACCATTTCCTCTTAACTTTTTTATGTTAGTGAATCATACATTTCCGTATGTCAAATTGAGTTTTATATTGTAGGTATTGAGGAGATTAGTTATATTCATTAGGTTCCATCCCCTTTACTTTACATGGTAAACCAACTCTCTCGTCTTTTGGTTTCTGTTGATTAATAGGTGGGGTTTGGTTTCATCTTACATAATATGTGATTTACCAAGTAGCAGGCATAGGGCTCCATCAAAATGCAACATTTTGGGAATTTTATACTTGGTCTTCTATTGAATGGAAAAACTCATGGGAATACTTCAATTACATAAAAAGCTTGAAATTTCTACATTAGCTTTAAAGTATGTTGAATGACAGGTTCTTTCCTAGTTTTATCTTTTTTCCCTTCTTGTCATCTCCTTTCTGTTGGCTGCCTTGCCTGTCTTCGCTCCTGTTATTTACTGTAACTACTTAAGATATGATATAATACAGATCTTAGGTTGGTTCTGAGTCCTGAGGAGCCTGGCTGAGATCTCTTTTGACTATGATGCCATGATGACCTACCAACTCTATGTTTCTAGTTGTAGTTGAATGCCATTTCATTCTGAATGCCTATCCATTCTCTTTCCTAATTGCACTGCCTTTTATTTCCTTTTCCTTTTATCTTTGGTTTGCAAGTAATTTGACAATTGTCCATTGATATCTGTATTTAGAGAGATTGATAAGGAAGAATTTAAGAAAGTAATGGCTTTCATGCGAGCTTATAACAGACAAGGAGCTGTCCACAAAGATGGACTTCGCACTGGGTTAAAAGTTAGTGGTTCTGTGGACGATGGAGGTCTGGTGGAGCTCTTTTTTGGAAAGGATGGAAAGGCACGCCTCCAATATGATAAATTTATTCAGTTCATGAGAGATTTACAGGATGAAGTAAGTGCACCCTCTACCCAAAAAAAGGGAAAAAAAAAAAAAAAAGAGAGAGAAACTTTCTTAGTTTTATGAAACAGAACCTAGCTTCTTATGATTATGATCCATGCTTATACAACAAGTGCAATATTGCATGGAAATAGTCTTTTTCTTTTGGATAAAAGTTAAAATTTATCATCAAAAACTTACGTACAAAGCATCTGGTGGGTATGCTACTGAATACAAGGAATCAACAAATCTACATGTAAATAGTCTTGTCATTTTTCTAGTTTTATTCTTGCTGAAAGAGATGATACTCTTAGAACTTGGATGTTGAATTAACCCCTAATCAGGATTTAAAATTTCTCTAAAATTTCTAATTAAACATAAGATTTTTATTGATTCTATCAAAACCTGGATATCCTATTGTTTAGTAGGTAAATAAACCTTCGAGATCCTTTTTTCATGTAACCCATATCATTGCCTGAAATTCTTCCCGTTGCTATTGGAAACACATTAAAATATGGTAGTAAATGTAAGATGAAAGAAAAAGTTAGTACTTGTGCTCACATTATATTGTCTCCTTCGTAACAGCAGTGACTTGAAAATACTACAATTTATAAAATATGTCAAATCATCAGCCATTGTTTTGTGTTGGCAAATTTTAATTAATTGGTTTTGTAATGCATGTTTGGTTTGTTCAGGAAAACCATGCGGAATTGTGCTTTTTTTCTGTCTCAATTATCTATTTTCATATTTTGTGATCAGTCTGCATGTTATTATGATTCGATTTTGTTATTCTCTAGGTACTGAGATTGGAGTTTGCTCATTATGACTGTAAAAACCAAGGAACCATTTCAGCAAAGGATTTTGCATTATCCATGGTTGCTTCTGCTGATATGAGCCATTTGGACAAGTTGATCGATCGGGTTGAAGAATTAAACAACAAACCTCATCTTAAGGATATTCGCATTACCTTCGAGGAATTCAAAAATTTTGCTGAGCTACGTAGAAAATTGCAGCCATTTTCTTTGGCCCTTTTTAGTTATGGGAAAGTAAATGGCCAATTGACCAAGGAGGACTTCCAACGAGCTGCATTTCATGTAAGGCAATGTCGTCCTTTTCTTTCCTCTAAAAAATTTTGTTATACCGTTTAACAATTTTCAAATGTCAGACTCTTAGTGGATTAATAACTATGCTTGTGCAGGTGTGTGGTGTATCACTCACGGACAATGTTGTTGAAATCATTTTTGATGTCTTTGACTCCAATCTTGATGGGACTTTAAGTGCAGATGAGTTTCTTAGAGTTATGCACAAACGTATAAAAGATGTTACCCAGCCAGTGGAGTCAGGAATTTCTGGATTCTTACATAACTGCTCCATTGGGCGTTTCTTCTCTTAACTTTTTTCCATGCCATGGTCCCTGCTGTATCCCGGATGCTCTTGGTATCTCTCTGGCAGTTCAATCTACTTATTTCTTCACCGTTCAGTACAGGTATGTCTTCTTGAGTTAGAGCTGGAAATACAAAACCAGGGTATTTATTAGCACGCAGTTTTGATCTTTTGGCTGGAAAATGAACAATTAACTCCCTAATTCACGTCGCTGTTATCTCGTTGGGCATATGTACTTGCTGGCAACAAAATGCAAACTTTCATTTCTGGAACAAAGTCATTCGGTGGCGGCCTTATGTTGTGCTGACCCAAGAATTGTACAGTTTTCTTCTCTTTAACTCAGTATATGTAAATATTTTCAGCAAATAGTTCTTAGAAAATTCACTTACTATTATGAACGATATATAAATGAATGGATGTCTTGCCATCATCCTTTTACCCATTAAACTTTATCCAGTGAACTGTTATATTTATTGAATCATAACATTCATAAAATAGTCAAGCTTTATTTAATGTTTTAATTAAGTTGAATTCATAAATCTAGTTAAATTCATTCACATGAATCTATTCAAGTTTATTTATTAGATTTATATAACATTTATTATCCCCTAACTTATATATAAGTTGACATTGTATGAGATTAAAACTAGAAACTAAATAGTGAAAGGAATATCATACTTTTAGGGCTTTTTCTATGTGTCATATCTTCTCATTTCTTCTTATCTCACTCTATTATCTTATATTTATATATATTCTTACTTTCTCATACTTATTACCTCTTATCTTACAATACTTATACATATATTACAATTTGGTCACCTTAATGTTCGCATGGTTTATTCAGCCTCAAGGGTATCTGAATTTTTGTTACTAATTATTACTGTCGGGATATCCAAAAGGAATCATTCTACATCGTGCTTTTAATGCTCTAAATAATTTGAATTATATTCTTCCAGTAAAGACAATGACTAGAAAACAAATAGTACCAAAATGATTCCAAGTGGGGGCAGCGACTTCCTATTTGCATCCTTGAATGTTATTGTTATTTATGGCTAATATTTTTTAAAATGTTTACTTTTAATCAACAATTTTTAAAATTTAAAATTGATAAAAATGTTACAAGTTAATAACTAAAATTTTATATTGTATTTTAATGTTAAAAAAAATAATTGTATTTTAACTTACAAGTGATTTAATAATTAATTTTAAATTTTTTTTATTAATTTTAAATTATAAAAAGATATTAATATTCAAAATATATAAATATAAAGAAAGGGAAAGTCTGACCATGAGCGTATTGATGTGATAATCACGATCACGATCACGATCAAAATCATAATTTAATAAAAACACATACTAAGTGCTAAAGCATGCTATAAATGTGTGTAGTCAATCTTCTCCATTTTTTTTAAACGTGTGTAATCAAAATTGATCTAGATATGTCAACGATCTAAATAATTCATTGATTATCACTTTTTATTAGAAATAAAATATATTAAATTTAAATCACATGATATGTAAGTAAAATAAAATAAAAAATAAAATATAATTATTTTTCATCCTAGATCAAAATAAATAAAAATAATAATAATAAAAAAAACTAAACTAGACATAATAGCAAGAAACCTCGTCAATCAATGAACAACTAATCAATAAATTAATCAAAATCTACCAACAATCAACTTTTAGTTTGAATAAAAAAATTTAATTTTTTTAAATAAAATTTTAAATTTAAATTTTATAAATAAAAAAATTCAAAAAATTTTTTTTGTTGGGATCAAACATGATTTAATTTTAAATTAATTAAAATTCAATATAATTTTTAAATGTAAAAAAATTAATACTAAAAAAAATAAACTAACCAAACTCTATAATAGCTTCCGGACGATACAAAACCTGGAAACAACGAGGCAACTAATCGTATCACAAATAATCAATCAATTTGGTCATCAACATCTGACATTAAAATATAGTTTGGGAAACAACAGTATCTTCAAAGCTGAGACAACAACATATCCTATATTTCTTTTAACGCAGAAGCAACTGCAATTCCCATGTTCCTTAGTCTTAACTCTTGGAATCCAGGATTTAATTAAGGCAACCTCTGAGTACCTTCCTTTTTTCCATGATTTGTGTTTATGAGTTGGATACTGATGGCCTTCGTTGTAAATGTTTCTCTTTATAAATTTCTAACTTTCTAAAAGGAAACACCTTCACACCCAGACAGCAAAGCGGCAGATAGACTCCTGATTCGCCTAGGGTCCATTCCGGTTGTTCCATGCCGAAATTAACCTTTAAAAAAAAAAAATTGTTTTACATTTTTGGTGAAAGTGAAATAGATATTTCTCCTTTTAATTCCCTTTTAGTGGTAGTAACTGTTAAAAGATCTTTCATTTTAATTATTTCAAAAATTAGAAAATGGAAAGGCGGAATTGCTGGGTAATCTTGACAGCCTTAGAGTCATTTATTATGTGATTTTTACGTTGAAATTAATGTAAAAGTCATATGATGGATGATTTTAATGTTATTAGAATTATTAGATAATTTTAATTTTTCACAATTTCTTAAAAAATAATTATGGGGGGGTTTGAATTAATTATTTAAATGTTACTAAAAATTAACACTACTCCTAATTAATATCATATTATTGATAATTATTTTTTTAATATTAAATAATTAATAATAATTATTTATGACTTAAAATATTTAATTTCTTATATTAAATTCAATAACTAATCAAACAACAATCATGTTTTTGTTCATACCAATGCGTTTTTTCCACGCGTGTCAATATTGACTGGGTTAGGATTCTCCTGGAAAGTGGAAAGGTTGACCCAATTGAGCTAGAAAAAAAAAAACCCTAATGGCTACGCAGATTAAAGGCGCAAAACATCGTGTTTGTATTTCTCTCTCTTTACCCTTACATTCCTTCTGGCTTCTGAAACCAAACACGCCATTAGTTTTTCATTTCCCCAACCCCAAGCAAATCCTCGATTCCTCTTGGAAATTAGCCTCCTCCTGTTCTTTTCTTCTTTGTCTTTTTCTTTGCTGTAATAATCATATTTCTCTGTGTTGGTTCTTTCTCCTTTCCACATATCTTGGATTGGATTGGAATTGAATTGTCGGTTTCGTTTTAGGGAGTCTTTTTGAATTAGTCAAATGGGAAAGCCCACGGGGAAGAAGAAGACGGAGGAGACGAAGAAGCCCGGTGACGCCGGCGGTAAGCCTGGCAAAGTCTCTGATCGGACCTTGAAGGCGTTCGATGAAGACACGGCAATGTTCATCAACATGTCGCAGGAGCTGAAAGAAGAGGGTAAGAAACTCTTTCAAAAGCGCGACTATGAAGGTGCCTTGTTAAAGTATGAAAAAGCCCTTAAACTACTTCCTAGGAATCACATAGATGTGGCTCATTTGCGTAGCGATATGGCTGCTTGTTATATGCAATTTGGTCTTGGGGAGTACCCACGAGCTATTAACGAATGTAGTTTGGCTCTTGAGGTATCGCCCAAATACACCAAAGCCTTGTTGAAAAGAGCTAGATGTTATGAGGCTTTGAATAGATTGGATTTGGCGTATAGGGATGTTCATAATGTGTTGGCTATTGAACCTAATAATTTGGCTGCTTTGGAGCTTTTTGATGGTCTGAAAAAGGCGATGGAGGAGAAGGGTGTTACTGTTGACGAGAATGAACTTGGTTTGTTGGGTAAGGAGCCTACTGGGACTTCGCCTTTGAGGAAGATTGTGAAGGAGAAGTTGAAGAAGAAGAAGAATAAGGGAAACAGAG